CCCAGTGTCCTTGTGACGCTTGCTTTCGGATCTTGGCTACCAGCAGGTGTATAGCGGCGCAAAGACTCTGCAAAGAGCATGCTCTGCACCCCCCATCTCTTCCCCATCTGTGTCCCATCTGTTCCCCTGTCTGTCCCTGTCTCCCTGTGTCCCTCCTTCGGTCGAGGACTTCTCTGTCAGCCAACAGACCGAAGATCAGCGAGGCCACAGTGAAGACCTTGTGGACAGCAGCTACATACGATGACGTACATTAACATACGAGGATATAGGATAGTCGACGGTATATAAACGTAATAGATTATAATTGATAATCATATAGACATGCATAGACCATGTATAGACAATGTACTATGCGGCGCTACTCAGCACTATAGTATCACTATAGCAATGCGCAGCACTAATCACTCCCAAACGCATCCAGCACAAACTGCAGCCCCAGGCTGCGGTCATAGCCATGGAAGGCAAAGCGCTCTGCCAGTCGTTGATCTTCAAATCCTGACCGGAAACATCTTGCAATAAAACCATACAAATGTGAAACGTATCAAATTGCGACTGATGCTACAGTAATCTACAGTGATGTTCAAGTTCTGTTGACATGAAGTTGTCTCACGGGAAGGAGTTCAGTTCTTAAGAATAACCCCAGAAATTGACCTGGTGGGGTTGGGGCTTCAAATTTTGCGGACACACTGGAAAACGCCAAAATGGCCTCCTCAAAACCAAAAACTTAGCATTTGAACAAGAAACTTTCAGGCCTACAAAATCTAAACACCCAACCCCACTTTTGTTGGGACCTGGGGCACCCGGCGCTTCCTTTTTTAACCAGTGAAATGCAGTGTGCCCGTCAGCAGTGCATGAAAAAAGAGCACTACTGTAGTTGTGAGAAAAAGGAGGCAATCTACTATCACAAATCACAAACAAAGGTTCATGCACTAACATGTGCCTTTTCGGAGGGAGGCAGCACCATGCTAGGGTGATGTTCACAATGCTGCCGATGAGCGCGCTAAAATTAAAATTAAAGGACCGGATAACCCCACATGTTAACAACTTCTCCAGACTTAGACCGAGCATAGAAAAGCAACAACGGAAGAGGAAGTATGAGAGTGATGGAGGGGTGATGTATCTATTCATCTTTCATACTTTCTGTCTGTCTATCTATGTCGATGTATCTATCTGTCCATCTATCTATCCATCTATCCACCTATCCATCTATCCATCTATCCATCTATCTATCCATCCATCTATCTATCGATCTATCTATCTGGCTATCTAGCACAGCATCTATAAGCAAGCAGCTTCGAGCACCAGAAGTTATCCAAAATTAATCTACTCACTCTGCTTCATCGCGGAGCACCCAGCGCCGCACCTGCCACGCAAAAGCCACCGGCAAAGAGAAGGAGACCAGCAAAGGCGTACATCCAACCTCCAAGTGCCGCACCTGCCACGCAAAAGCCATACCAAGGGACGCCAGGGTGTACATCCAATCGCTTGCAGAGCACCAAGTGCGGCACCTGCCACGCAAAAGCCACCGGCAGACCGGCGGAGACCAAGGGACACAGGGCGTACATCCGACCCCTTGCAGAGCACCAAGTGCCGCACCTGCCACGCAAAAGCCACCGGCAGAGCGGCGGAGACCAAGGGACGCCAGGGCGTACATCCGACCCCTGCAGAGCACCAAGTGCCGCACCTGCCACGCAAAAGCCACCGGCAGAGCGGCGGAGACCAAAGGACGCCAGGGCATACATCCGAACCCTTGCAGAGCACCAAGTGCCGCACCTGCCACGCAAAAGCCACCGGCAGAGCGGCGGAGACCAAGGGACGCCAGGGCGTACATCCGACCGCTTGCAGAGCACGAAGCGCCGCACCTGCCACGCAAAAGCCACCGGCAGAGCGGCGGAGACCAAGGGACGCCAGGGCGTCCACCCGACCGCTTGCAAAGCACCAAGCGCCGCACCTGCCACGCAAAAGCCACCGGCAGAGCGGCGGAGACCAAGGGACGCCAGGGCGTACATCCGACCCCTCGCAGAGCACCAAGTGCCGCACCTGCCACGCAAAAGCCACCGGCAGAGCGGCGGAGACCGAGGGACGCCAGGGCGCACATCCGACCCCTTGCAGAGCACCAAATGCCACGCAAAAGGCACCGGCAACCACCTAGAGGATCCAACGATGCACAAAGGACAACATCCAGCGCAAACGACAATAGTATGCAGAAACGTTGTCGTTTGCATTCAAGAGCTTCGCATATCTTCGGATAAGCTTCAAACGAGAGGAAGTATATACATGCACAGCCATTTGAGAAAAACGACCCCGCTGACGAAAACGACCCCGTTGACGAAAACGGAACCGCCAAAACCATATATATAAATCAACAGAGAACAATTTGTTCCAACAAGAAGCATCACAAAGAGGAAACCGAAGCAGATGCACAGAAAGGAGACAAACAGAACAAAACAAGAAGCGACGAAAACGACCCCGTTGACGAAAACGACCCCGTTGACGAAAACGGAACCGCCAAAACCATATATATAATATATAAATCAACAGAGAACAATTTGTTCCAACAAGAAGCATCACAAAGAGGAAAGCGAAGCAGATGCACAGAAAGGAGACACAAACAAAACAAGAAGCTGACGAAAACGACCCCGTTGACGAAAACGGAACCGTTGACGAAAACGGAACCGCCAAACTCATACATACATAAATCCACAGAGAACATGCAAGAAACATCACAAAGAGGAAACCGAAGCAGATGCATGCACTCAATGCATGGAGACAAGCAAAAACAAAACATAAGCTGACCAAACGAAAACGGAACCGCATTTACATAAATCCACAGGGAACAATTTGTTCTTGCAAGAGGAAACTGAAGCAGATGCACCGAAAGGAGGCAAGCAAAAACAAGACAAGAAGCTGACGAAAACGAGACCGTTAACGAAAACGGAACCGCCGTATCCATACATAGATCCAAAGGCAACTGCATTGTTCCAACAGTACAAGTGACACATGGAACTCATAGCAAAAGCAGATGCACCCAAGGAAGAAAAAAGAACAAAAGAAGAAGCTGACGAAAACGACCCCGTTGACGAAAACGACCACGTTGACGAAAACGACCCCGTTGACGAAAACGACCCTGTTGACGAAAACGGAACCGCCAAAACCATATACATAAACCCACAGAGGAAAAATTTGCAAGAAGCATCATAAAGAGGAAACCGAAGAAGATGCACCGAAAGGAGACAAACAAAAACAAGACAAGAAGCTGACGAAAACGAGACCGTTAACGAAAACGGAACCGCCGTATCCATACATAGATCCAAAGGCAACATGCAGTACAAGTGACACATGGAACTTATAGCAAAGGCAGATGCACCCAAGGAAGAAAAAAGAACAAAAGAAGAAGCTGACGAAAACGACCCCGTTGACGAAAACGACCACGTTGACGAAAACGACCCCGTTGACGAAAACGGAACCGCCATGACCCAAATCCACAGGGAACAAAAATATTCCCACAAGGGTCCCACAAGGGCCAACACAAAGAACAAGAGGAGTGCTCAAGCGTAGCACATGTAATCACAAAGTTGTGACTGACACATGATACATTGTTGAACACAGCCGGCCACCTGTGCCCAGTGCAGAGACAGGTTTGGTGAAAGTTTATGGATTGCTTGCAAAGGCTTTGGGATTGAAAAGAACTTAGACTGCTTTTGGCTCTGCCCCCGTGCTGGGCTTCGGGAAAAAAGTTTTGCGACCCTTCACATACGGTTCAAGGGTCGCAAAACGGGTACTGCACACGCACACACATTATATATGGATATATATATATATATTAGGAATATATATATATTATATTTTTTTAATCTTATGCTATACTATGGTTCATTATATTATATGTTTTATTCTATGTGATTTTATATATTATATTATATTATATTAAATCTTTGATAGTATATTGTATAATATATAATATTATATTATGTGATATCATATTATATTATATTGTATTGTATTTGAATTTACTCTATTATAATTTATTATGTTATATTATTTCATTATATATCACGCTATATTACTTTACATCACTTAAAGGATGAAGAATATATATATATACATATGAACAATATGCTTTAGAATATTGAAAATGTGTAAATATAAATGATACAGTATATATATATGTGTGTTTTTTATCTTTTACAAATATAACACATATAAAGTACATAACGCATATAGTAAATACATTGTATATATACATATGTTATTTTGAACTTCGGGGCTGGGAGCCAGGTGGAAACCATCCAAAAAGGTAAACATCCATATCTACAGATATCAATGCATCATATATATATATACACTATACATAATATGTACTAAGTTACACCAATTTGGTGGCCAACCCATGTTCTATCTTTGGTGGTATTCGCTGCCCGGCATTCGTTCGCATCTTGAAATAGATCAAACTTCCGGTAGTGAAACTGAGATGGTAAGTAACCATTGGGAAAACATTGGAAAAACAGTTGTCCATAACCAGAGATGTGTTGGTCAAACTAAAAACCTAATCTGAATGATGAAAAATCGATGTCCCTAACCACATGGGATGGACCACACCAAAAATCCAAAAAGAGAACCCCACATTCATTGCATTTTTTCCAAGGGGGACCCAATTTAACCAATACCATGATCCGAAATACAACTACAAAACAAGTTGTCAATGCACAGGGTACGCGTCGGGTGTCCGATAGCCGATGCTATTCATGGCAATGCTCTCCCCTGAAGGTGCCAGGGCCAAAGGGGAGCGAAGTCCTGTTTTTCATTCTAAACCCTTTGAAGTCTGAACTGAGCATTTTGCCCAATTCACCCAAAATAACTTCAGATGTATAGAGCCTTTGGCTCCACTGCAGAACGCCCCGATGCAAATCCATGGAATCCGTGTTTGACAGTTCAGTCCATGGGGAAAGGTACAGCACCAACACCCCATCTACTATTGATACTTTCATTTTTTTGTTCAGGGGGCATCTATTTATTCCATGTGATTTGCTTTCTTTGAAAATTCTCGTACAAACATGGCAAGACACAGGAGGTATCTCATGAACATCCTTTGGACACAAGTAGCACCGTGACATCGGATACCGATGTGCTTCAACTTGCCCAAGAAACTTTCTTCATCAAAGTTTTGGAACATAGCTGGATTCAGGCGTGTTGCCTTGATATCATCAGCAACGTGGAAATTGTAATGCGTTTTGCATCGAACTTTGAACAGCAGCAAACATCTTGAATAGGAATACCATGCGAGCCACATATAAGTTTTCAGATGGGTTTTCAAAGACTCGCATGCCTCAGAAGCTTCAGCCACTGAAAAGATAAACCCAGAAGTGTCCATCAGCTCTATCACCCTTTGCAGTGAGTAGCAGCAAGTTGCCAGCACGTTGAGAACTGGTTCCTGGGCCAACAAAAATAGGTGTAGGGAATCATAAACATAGAAAAAACAAGTCACACAGATTTGTGTTCACAATATTGTTGAAAACAACTTTTGAATTGAAATCCAACCCCAGGCTCTTGTGGGTTCTGGTCTGCAAACTGTTGGGTCTCACGAGCAAGCCACCATACAATCAACTTGACATGCGAAGCTTTGTAACGGGTCCCAAGTTCAGCAAATCCATCATTGAACCCGAGATTTGCACTTGTGAGGCAAGGTTTGGCTGGTAGGTAGAGCCTCAGATCTTAAACATTTTTGAAACGTTCCGGCAATAGCCAGCCAATATTATATATAATAAACCCTTGGTTTCATTGGGGAGTCCGATATAAAAAAGAAAATATCACGATTTGGGGATTCACCGTGTTACTAAATTGGTGGATGCTATGTGGGCTATGAATCCAGAGTTAACATGTGTCACCTAGGCACCCATGTTCTGTGCAAGTTTTGCGCATGCTGGCATGGACACTTGCCAGGATTTCTTCCATATCGCTTGCCCCTTGCGCCTCGGCTGTGAATCGTCCATGCTGGATGAGCACCAAAATACCTTGGGATTGGCCCCAAAATGGGCTTCGGAATTTGGAGGTTTTTGGTTCCCAGGGTTTTGAAAAACAAAACATTTGGTGATAGTATAAGATTGAAGTAGAACATGCTATGATGGAAAGATAAGCGCGGTCTAATTTGAACAGTAAACATTGCAACATATTGCCACTCAAAATGTAAATCCATTGCCAAATTACCACTGGCACAAAGGTCTCTGGCTGTGCCAAGGTAAACGTGATGTAGCCAGTCATGGGAAATGGTAAGGAAATGGAATCCTGGTACTTGTGCCCACGGTGAAAGTGACCCTCGATCAAGAACTCTGTAGGTTTCATCAGTGATTGTGGTCAGATTCCATGCTGCAGAAGGGCCAACATTTCTGTAATCCAGTTCGCTGGGACAATTATCCCCTTGAAGGGCAAGGCATCTGTCACAAAACCTGAGAGAGCTGGAAGGGGTGAACCACGAAAACCGTTACATTGTTGGGATGCTTCATTCTTAAAATTTTGAAATAGATTCGAAAGATTCCAATTGAATTGTAGATGATTCCAAATGAGGGACTCATTGCACTTGTACCACCTCTTCAGTTTGTGCATTTGGTGTCTGGCCTTCAGGTCTGCTTTAAAGGCAAAAAGGCATGCCCTTAGATGAATCAGAGACCGACCCCAAGGGAACAATCTTTGTATGTAAAACCAAACCCTATCAGATATCATCAGATTATATTTCGGGGGTGCCATTGAAGTTGTTAGCTGTTTAGGCAATGGTTAAACTCCACAGGCCGAAATGCTACAAACGTGACTCTTGATTGGTGGTTTTACCTTTACTTCCCAAATAGACATATCCTTTACAATCAGTTTGGAATATACCACCCAAGCAGGACACCCATATCAAATCGTCCCCTGACTTTAGTATGGGAGCCCCTTTGGAAATCATTCAAACTTCATTGAGTAAGAATTGCAAGGCTCCTCCACCCTTTGGCCAACTCGCTTCCCTTGCGTTTGAACCGTGTGGTTTTTGGATGGAATTCTTCCCCTTCAAAGCCTGTCTGAGGCCAAGTCCCACGACCTGCGTACTCCATGGACCAAGCTGTGAGCTCTGCGATCTTCTTGTGCACCTCGTCACGAACCTGTGTGGATGACGACATGGAAAGGTTTTTTTTTTTAAAAAATATGTTCATATGATCACACAATTTTGAAATAGATGGGGAAACCAGTGCAAACTACAATGATAAGGTGAGTAGCAGATGCAGTTCTCATCCAGCGTTCAGGGATCACTGCTATGGGAAAACGAAACATGAGGACATCCTTGATGGAACCTGCAGTTGCGAATATAGAACTCCAGCTCCAAACGAAATATTCGTCCTCCTTGTAGAATTCGCAACCATCGTCGTGAATATGTATGCCAACTAGCCTCTCCCAACTACCCTGGTTGATAACTGGGTGGTGTTTCCATGGTTCCAGGCCAGATACATGTTTCCAAAAGGCTTTACGAGCATCATCAGGCAGGTGACCCAAAAGAACACTCTCAAATACATAGTGTTGCGACTCAGCCATGGCAGCAAGAACTTCATGGGGAAGCAACACCCGCATGGATGTAGGTCGAGCATTCTTGTTGCAACCATCTACCTGGTTGACGCCGAATCAAACAAACCCGATTTTTTGTAAAACAAAATGTTTTCACTTAATTTGAATTAACACATGTTGGGTTTGAAACCTTGTTTAGCCAGGCCAATTTTTCGGCACACCCCACCAGAAGCTGGAGCTTTACACTGTATGTTTGGAGCGAAAAACCCCACAAATTTGACAGCCATCTGTGAAGATCTCGTTCTTGGTTTCCCAAGTGATCCCCGTTTGTCCCAAGGCTGGCAAACGCTTGAAGGGCTTCGTGTGGTAGATCATGGTCATCTACCTTGGAGGCCCAAGTGAGTTTGGGTGTGCCTGGCTTGGCCCTAAAGAACACCAATGGGAAAACAAAATTCACAGAAGGGAAATCACAAATCAGAAAGAGCCGCCTAGATACTACGGTTCTAGCGATGTCAGCTGCAGCTGCAATTGACAGTTGTCCCCTCCCGATCAAGTCAGTGAACTTGTTGACAGTTTGGGATTCTGCAAGGTCCTCTAACCTTCTTCGTTTCCTGCATTGCCGATCGAGCAAAAGCTAACCGGCATTTTTGATGAAAAACCAGTTGGAAGAAACAATGCCCAAACAAAACTAGCTGAAAAACTCCTTATGGTCATCTATTCCTTGTGTATGTGGTGACAAACTCTTGGTTTCAAGATGCCACATGGCCGGCGCCCAGCAGGTCTTGCCTGCAAGATCTGTTGCCCAAGGAGCTCAAACCTGGCCGTGATGGTGGAAGGGAATCTGGTATATCTGTCGTTTGAACTAACTTGTGGTGGAATAAAATGGGGGATTCCATTTATTAATCTATATGAACATTTGGAGATGATTGGGTTTTATTGTGAACAGTTCTGCTCTGATGGTTTAGAGATAATTGGATGCTATTCTGAACAGTTCCGTCTGGCTCATGACGCATTTTTTCCCCAAAAGCGTGTCCACATGGTAGCTAATCAGAGCCCCGGCACGACGAATCAGGCTTATAGGCCCATAGCAAATGTGACACATCACGGCAAGCGTTCATCACTTGCACCCCTGTCTCTCAGATATTCACTTTTTCTGTTTCTTTGCCTTGGATTTCCCAGAGGGATTCTTTTTTTTCTTCGGCTTCAAGAAAGCATCTGCCGCTGCCTGGTCATGGGGAAACGCTGAACTCAATAGGGGCTCAAAAAGAATGCAGAAATTGTAAGTCATGGGGATAGGCTAAAAAAACAAGACTTGTAAAGGGAAAGTAAACAGGAGGATCCCCCAATGTCATGTTGGTTGATAGTAACCCTGCACACTGCGTATAAGCTGAATCCCACTATGTGCCTGCGCTTTGGCGCCAAAAGCTTCCATGTCTGCAGTCTTCTTGCACAACTGCTTCAAAGTCTTGTCATCCGGGTTGCTGGTCACAGCCTTTGACATGTCTTGGTACAGTGACTCAAGCTTTTTGGCATGGGTCAGCAACTGGTCAGACAGTTCTTTTGCATACTCCATGTCGTGCAGTTTGATGCTTGACGTACGGGCATCAGCTGCATCCTTCAAAAGAAGTGGCAGGGAGGCTGTTGCCTTCTGAATCCACGTCTGGGGCTCCACGGTCTCTGATTTGTCCTCTTCCTTTGGCTTCGGTCTTTTTTTGGGTGCTGCTGCCACCTGCAACAAGACATTCGATAGATTGGGGTTTGCCGTGGATGTCTTCGGGCATTGTACTTTTGATAAACCATTTTGTAAGCATTGTGAACCCTATGTGTTCGATTTTGGGGTTGTGGTTTGTGACGGCCCGTGATATAGCATGTGGTTCAAGAATCGCCTGTTTTAAGTTATAATGTGTATTGTTCAAGAATTGGTCTTGGATTCTGTGCTTTAAATTTCCCAAATCTATCTACACTTAATCTCTTGATCTCATGTCCATGATGGTCATGGCTGGCCTTGTCGATTGCCTCCAGGAGCAGCTTGTTTCCTCCCGCCGTGGCCGTTGTCAAAGCTGGCAAAGCTCCAGGACGCAAGAGGCCAGTCTCAGTGTCGGTCAGGGCAGCCCTCATTTCTGGGTTGACATCCATTGAAGCCTTAAGGGCTGTAGACTCGGCTGTGGTGTCCTTGCGCTGGAACTTGGCACCCTCCCGGACGTAAAACCACGTTTCCTTGGCAAGAGAAGATTTGGGCAATAAGTGAAAATATCTTGGGATGGACCTCTGAAGATACTTAGGAATGGTAATCGCTCGAACCAAACCTTTTAGATTTCGATACCTTTGGAAATTATAGTAAAATACACCATATTATCAAGTAATTGCTCCAGCAGACAGAACTAAAGGATCCCAGCTGCTTTGAGACCATTGGCTTAAGGTAACTGCTAAATAAGCTACTTTTAGCAATAAAATAACAGCTAAATAAGCTACTTTTAGCAATCACAAAAACCAGGGTTCGTCGTCGTCACCAGGAAAGTCAGGGTCTTCGTAGTACAAACCACTCTGTTTCCTTGAGGCCAGAATGGTCTGCCACTTTTCTGGGCTGTAGCGTTGCTTCAACACTTTCCCTTGCTCTGCCTTCCACCCCCGGGTAGCTATGTTTTTTTGTTCATGGCGTCTTTCACATTCAAGGGCACAGGCTGTCCAGTCTTGGTTTGCGTCCAACCACATGTTGAACAACTCTTGCTTGCTTGACACGTACATGTCGTTGAGAGCCACCGGCATGCGAGATTTCGCTTGCCTGCAAAAGGTGTCCCACTCACGTTTGTTTGTCACACTGTTTTTGAGTGTTGCAAGTTGTTGCTGGGTGTGGGCTGTGACTGGCACAAGGGCATGGGTCTCGGGAGTGGCATTCTTCTCAGTCTCCTTCTCTCCATCCTTTGCCAACTCTCCTTGTTCCTCCTCAGCATCCTCTACATCACTCTCTTCCTCCTCTTCTTCTCCTTCATCACTTTCATCCTCATCTTCTTCGCTCTCTTTCTCCTCAGAAACAGAGCTCAACGTGTCGGAATCTTCTTGCTCTTCTTTCTTGCCCTCATCCTGCTCATCCTGCTCCTCATCCTCGTCATCTTCTGCCTCTGAGTCTTTCTCATCGTCTTCTTCTTCTTCACTGCTGCATGCTGCCTGCTTATCTGTGGGACTTTCCTCTCCACGCAGCATGAGGTTCTCAAGGTCTGTGGCAGGACATGAACTGTCCTCCTCGAAGTCAGAAGGCGCAAGGTGCTTTGTGAGCTCACGCAATCTCTCTTCAGCTCGTTGCTTGACCGTCATCTTGTCATTGACAGGTGGGGGAGAACTGCTCCTGGTCTTGCGGTCAGGTGTCTGGAAAATGTGTTCGATCTCTTCTTTCTTTGCCTCAGTAAACTTGATTGGAGGTTCCTTCTCTTGCTTCTTCTTTTTCTTTGTTGAATCCTCTTCCTCTTGCTCATCCTTTTTCTTTCTCTTGCTTTGCTCGGTCTTGCCTCCTTTCTCACTCTTTCGGCCCGCTGGCACGATCTTCTTCTCAGTCTTATCTCCTTTCTCACTCTTCCGGCCAGCTGGCACGTCAGTCTTCTTCTCAGTCTTATCTCCTTTCTCACTCCTTGAGCCTTCTGGCCTCTCGATCTTCTTCTCAGACTTGTCTCCTTTTTCACTCGTTGAGCCTTCTGCCTTCTCAATATTCTTCTTCTTCTTGGCCTTGTCTCCTTTCTCACTCATCTTCTTCTCAGGCTTGTCTCCTTTCTCACTCTTTGAGCCTTCTGGCCTCTCAGTCTTCTTCTCAGCCTTGCCTCCTTTCTCACTCCTCTTCTTCTCAGCCTTGCCTCCTTTCTCACTCCTCTTCTTCTCAGATTTGCCTTCTTTCTCGCTCCTTGAGCCTTCTGGCCTCTCTGCCTTCTTTGAGCCTTCTCGCCTTTGAGTCTTCTTCGTTGCCTTATTGCTACTGCTACTTTTCCTCTTCTTCTGCTCCTCCTCTTCTTTTTCTTTCTTTTTCTTCAAAGCAGCTTCCGCCAACTCTTTCTGTACACCCTTGGAACGATCCTTTCTTTCCTGGTCACTATGGTGCTTCTTTCTCGACCTGGACCTCCCCCTTTCCTCTTTCTTCCCCCCTACCCTCAAGGCAGAAGGTCTAGAGGAGGCACTGGTCATTGATTTGGACCAGAGACGTTTGCGTGGAGGTGTGCTCACAGCTCTCATGAGCCAACCCCGTCAAAAAAGAGCCAAAATGTCTTGGAAAAATGCAAACTTGGAAACATGTGTTCCTTCATCCGATGATTCAAAATAGATGGAATAGATGGAAAAATGCAATCCCTACAAAGCGCAACATTTCGCTCCATTTCACGCTAGTCTCGCTATTTTTCACACTAGTGGTTTTGATCTAAAAAAAATAAAAAATGAAGACCCGTGTCGTCTTTGTCTTAAGAAATTGCAGACTCTGAAGCTCCCACCCCACTGCCGTTGTTTGCAGGCCTTCGGTGCCAGCGCATCTCTTGAAGCACAGGCGTGGCATCTCCTGGAATCCAAGGGAGGTGAGCATTAAAGGAAATGAATGGACATGATGGATCAGGGGAGGGCCATGTACATACATATCACATATATATATATATAAATATGTGTGTGGGGCATAATCTTTTGCATAGTGAAGACCCACAGTGCAGACATAGGCTTTATATAAATCATGGATATATCCACAAAATACCATAGTTGATACTTATTTTGCCTAGGGGCCTCAACTCGTACGACAGTGAGGATTGTACCTTGCCTTCGAAGGAACCTTCACAAGAGGGATGTTGGAAACCATGTATAGTGAATTCTTGGTGGGAAATCTTCAGGGCAGAGTGAACATTTCAAAAGAATCCAGTTTGGAATCACACACCTTAGTCATAACCTATGTGAAAACCAAACTTCAGGACAGGGACTTTGGAATCTCATGTGTAACATCCCCTCGAATCCACGATTGTGTTTTTTCCACATGTTCGATGTTCCCCCAAAGATCCAATCTAAGCTCGTTGCCGAGCATCGGTCATCGGTCATGTGTCTACTTCAACACACGTCCGGGAATCTGAAATTAAGTTGCAAGACCCTGGCAAGCTTAGCGCTTTGTCAGGTAGTTCAAAATGGGCTGAAGATCAGCACCAGCCAACCAGGCACAGGCACGGTTGACCCGGGGACGGCTGTCGTAGTCGCCAGTGTCCTTTCTGGCTTCCTTCAAAAATTTATAGGCTCGTTGACGGATTCTCTTCTGGAATTTGGTTCGGGTTTTTGCCAAGGCAGCTCCAAACCTGAAATCATGGGGATTGCTGAACTCTGGGATTATAATTTTCCTGGTGGTTTACCACCCCAAAAAAAGGCCCCAGCAAGTATATTTCCAATAGCATTTTTCCTATAGTTTTCCTACATATTTGGTATACTTGTTGGGGCCTTTTTTTTTGGGTGCCAAACCAACCGTAAATTGCCACTCTGTGATTCATGGGGATACCAACAATGTGGGACCTCAAAATTTGGCCTTTGTTGGGTGATTGATTATTGTATCAAGGACTCGCCTCATGTTGAAAGAATGAAAATGAAAACTGCTAAGTCAAGTTTAGGTACCCTAGAGGGTAGGACTGGCTCGATTTCAAATGTTTTCCTCCAGTAAACCTCTTGACACCTTCACGGTTGTAGTAATGGCGAACCATCTCACGTTGCTGGAGTTTTGGTTGGACAGCATGTTCAGCTATGTAGTCGATTTCAGCATGGCCTCAAACGGGCCATATGAGATGGGTGTGCATGTTGGGACAACATCCAGGTTCATTTGAGTATATAGGGAAACTCTTCAGGGAACATGCAAATATCCCAGGAAAGCTTTGCAAGGAACATGTACAAATCACAAAGAATCACAATCTTGTTCTTTCCAATCAGGGTGCTTGAATACAAGTAAGTCTTCTTCTCCGTAGGGCCCCCATAGTTTGACATGGAGATCAATATTTTTCTCATGCCCAAAAGTCGAATGACCCTCTGGAAAAGAGGATGGTATTCCATACATGAAGACATCGGCTGCTCCAGAATCCACCATATCCCCTTCGAAGCACACAAGACCAGAAGAAATAGAGCTCTGCATGCGAGTAGATTTCCCATGCGTACACATTCACTATCTGGACGCCCCAAAGGTCGTTGCAGGGATCTATGTGTCGAACCAGCCGACCTTAGAAAGAAGTTATTTCTCTTTTGGGGGATGCTGGTGAATACTTAAACAGCTATACAACTCCCGATGATCGGCCATCCGTATTGGTTTACCCTTTGAATACATTGTTACATGGTTGTATAATCTTGGGACAGGGTGCGATCCCACACAAAAAGAAAATAGTTTGGGTGTAGGCCACAAATATTTACCAGGGACACTATCACAAACGTCGAGCACACTGGGGCTGAAAGGTGCCCTGACCCCGGCTTTAGGTTTGCCACAGCCCACAACGCGTTGCAAAACCCTTCCGAACTAGACAAATCCATTCTTTGTCCATCCAGCTCCAGGTCAAACGGCATGGCCTCACGGCCTTCCTCGGCCGGGATGCCCGGAAGGGCACTTGGCGAGATGCTAATCCTATACTATATAAATCTATATAACATACATATATCCATACATATATAGAAAGATGTATAAATAGTTAAATATATATATATTATATAACTATAGTTATATTTGCACCATGTATATATATAATTATATCTATCTATCTATCGTATACATACTTTTAGCTATATATATATATACATATAGACACCCATGTACAAAACTATATATATATATATGTATGTATATATATATATGTGCGTATATACATTCTGTATTTATGTTGTTTGGAAAATAGGGATGCAATGCTCGAACCCCCTTCTTATCGGATGTTTTATATTATGCACGTTTAAGAGACACTCATATGGATATTTTTGGGGAACCAACCCATCACCGATCATACTTTGGGATCAATTAGCAAAACACTTATTTGTCAATGCTTGCATGGGGATTGAATGATTGAGAAAAAGGATATGTTTCTGAATAGGTGATCTTTTCAACTTCCTTTTTAATGTAGTGTGAGTTTCATTCCACTCCCCTTTCGTCACAGACATCTTGCCACTGAACGCTTCAAAGTGATCCAACGGCTTGTCAAACTGCAAGCCTGGGACCTGGAAGAGCAAGCTCACGATAGTCGCAAACACCTCAAGAGACAAATGTTGATAAGAGGTTACATGTTCAGCTGAAAAGGGAATATCTCCTAATGACATCATGTTGGATTTAACCATTTAACTATTTAACTACTGTGGTTTTTGGCCAGGGGCACCCTTTGGACACCTTATAACTTTATCAGCAAGCTACTATTGGGGCCCGAAGTTTGCGAAGGCCTGCAAGCATCCAAGCACGTTGCTTAGATTGCCAGGACCGAGGGAACTTGGATGGTTGGTCGGGTGCATCATCACATTTGAATGGCATCTCACGTCGGATGGCATGGATGCGGGAACGGACAGGCACTTTCTTAAGCCCCTTCGTCATTTGACAGAAGTGACAATGACCAATGATCACACCCCTGCACAAAAGTGCACAAAGATTGAGCCAAAGGCTCCAAGGTGGAGGTTTTTCTTTACACTAGCTACCACCAACCAAATGATCGTTGCATAAACTGCTGAACCATTTTGAGGTTTACTACATGTTCTTGTATTCCAGGACTGAAAGCCCTGACCCTGTACTCCAACAGCATCCCATGAGTCCTTGAGCTGCAGGACATCCAACCGACGTTGCTTGCAGCAGTACCTGGCACAGGCCCGTGATCATACGCAGAAATCGCTGGCAGGGCTTGATGTTGGGAAGTGACTGGAATGATAGCAACGAATGTGGGGTACCAATGCTGACTTGTTCTTTGGAAAACTCTTTTGCTGATGTGTGGAAGTGACCACTGGTAAAACGTGACTGTGACGCTTTGAACCCAAATTTGGAGAAATACCCATAGCTTGGCATCAATGGCAACATCATTCTTGCTAATCTTTTGAGACAAACACTGCATTTTTTGCTTCACATTGTTGCGTTCACTGCTGTCCCGCACAACATTCTAAGTGCAGGTTCAACACCTTTATGCCTAGGATCAAACATCAGCACCTCAAGTCTAAGAAGCGCGTGCTTGACAAACCCCAAAGTCAAAGTAGACCTATGTAGATCCCTGTCTTCTCAAAGACAGAATTTGCTACGCCGAAAACCCGCTGACCTCTTTCAAAAGCCACTGCGAGCACAAGCTTCCACCCAAGCCAGGGAAGGACTGCCAAATTTGGACCATGTCACCTGACCTTTGCGACGATCAGGCCCGACCGTGCGCTTCACCACATATGCACGGTTGCGAAGAAGGCATTCGATGGCCTCGGCATAAGAGTAAATATGGGATACATTTATGGCTATTTAGTGAAATTGGGATACATTTATGGGATACATATCCATTTATGGGATACAGCATATGCATGTTCAGAAGCAACCGTTTCAATTCTTCATCTTGGCACTCCCGAAATCTTAATGGATTAATGGATATATAGGGGTCACACAAATCAATTCGTGTATTTGTTGCAAACAAAGATCGGCTCCACTCTTGGAATGGATCGTGTAGCCATGATGGCCAAGATGGGTTTGGCCATCCCTAGGCCTGGCTTCCATAGGAATTCCCAGGGCATCCAAATCATATTCACCGAATTTGGATACGGGGTCACCAAGATCATCACCATTGTCTGCAGCCTTGACGGCCGCCTTGTCTGCCGCCTTCTTGGCAGCCATCCTCTTGACCTAGGCTTTAGAACGGTTGGAACTTGTTGATCTTGACAAATTGGATAAAACACCACAGCTATTGAAATACCTGTTGCTGGAAACATCTTGGTGATTCGTTGATATTCGACTTTCACTCCGTGTTGAAGGGGTTTGAAGCCCTCAGGAATCTCACCATCCATCCATTAACCCAGTTTAGAAACTGTCTGTGGGCCAACCACCGGTGGAGGCGTGGCATTCACAGCTTCGGTTACCAACGTGGCATGCTTGGGGCGCTTGGCTGCAGGCGTGACAACCGAAATTTCGTCATTCCCAGCTGGGCCCAAGTTCATCAACTCCAGGGCTTTGCCAAATCCATCACGAGAGCCGGCCTGGTCAGAAAAAGGGTTGACCCCCAATGAATGAAACATTACAGCTTTGGGAGAACGTTTTTAGGTTCAAAGAGGGAGATCTGGATTCAGAAAAAACAAAATCAAACAATGATTGCCGGGTGAGAAGCATGTGAAATGCTGATGGCCCTTGGTGACCTGATTTCAGACATAGGAATGTATATGTATATATATATATGTGTATATATATATGTGTGTGTTCTGTATTTATATATATATACACGTTTTTACGTACATGCATGCAGAACACACACATATATACATGTATATACCCATATATCCATATGTTCATATCATAGATAATACGTATTCTTGTATGTATATACCTAGGACCAAAAAGTGTAGCAATGCATTTATTGAAGTTGGATCTCATCAGAGGCACAACAAGTATTCAAGTGATATCTTTTATGTTACTTGCGACACCCACGCCTTCGTGGACTCCTTGAGGGTCGCAGCTGCAGAGCTCGGCTCCTGGATCAAAAAAGCAGTAAGCACTATCTAATGCACAGGCGAAAGACTCAATGGCTTGTGACTCAATGCATGAAAGCTTGGTTTTCCAAAAGCCGTGGACCCTCCACCATCACCAGTTACAGTTGAAAGCAACATTGAATGTGAATCATGAAAAAAGGTTTGCAGTTGATGTCAAAAGCTCTGGAAGCCTAAGCCTTATTTTTAAACCAATGAACATTCAAAATTAAATGGGCCGGGTCCTGGGCCGGAGCTGCCTTCTGCTCCCGGAGCCACTTCATGAAAAACCTTCTGCTGGCAAGGCTTTCAAATACTTCATCTGCATCGTACTTCATCATGGCATCAGAGCAAAACTTCGAGTAGTCATCCCAAACGCAGTTGAAATCAGCATCACCCTTGCATTGCGCAGACAAATGAAAGCGAATGTCCCCGATCAGACACTGGATTCGGTCACGTTTCTTCTGGATCTCCTTTTCCTCCTTCTCTAGATGCCGAGCTGCCATCATGGCTCTACCCATCCACGCTGCACCTGGAACTTGTGAATCTGGTGGGTCAGACTCTGCACTGCCCTCGGAATCTTCGCTGCTGACCTCATGGCAATCATCAAGACGAAGCGTGGGGGCTTTCAAATGGCTGCTCACAGAAGAGTCTGGGGAAGTTGGGGGAACATCAGCATCAGAATCCTCGCGTTCCTCATCATGCGCAGATAGCGCAGGGTTCACCTCCCCTTCCTCCTCCTCTGAATCTTCACGCTCATGTTCAGAAGCCACATTCACACCCTCATGCTCGGAAGCACCCCCATCCTCAGCATCTTCAGATTCATCGGAAGCACCCCCATCCTCAGCATCCTCAGGTCCAGAAGCACCCCCATCCTCAGCATCTTCAAGTCCATCAGAAGCACCCCCATCCTCAGCATCCCCATCTTCATGTTCATCCTCTACCGGGGCTGGATCATCTTCACCTCCTGCCCTGTTGACCCTGTTGGGGGATGGTTGCAACAGGCTCTTGAGGTGTGTAACTCGGTCATTGTGGCCTTTGAGGCCGGATGATCTCCAAAGATTTCGGAGGGATCCCAGCAACTTCTTGCACTTGCAGGCCTCAATGGCTGCGAGATCCATCCTGGACTGGGTGGACGAAGGTTTCAGCATCTTACGTTCCAAACGCCGGTCTAGCTCTAAGAAGACATCCGTCAACAAATAGGCAATGGTACCTGCAGGGCCCCTACCCTACCGAAATCGGCATCATTGAATAAAACAGCTTCTGTCGAACCTTACGCAAACAACTTATCAACCCCATCCTTGGAAGGGAAAGCCTGCACCAGCGGCAACAAGAACACATAGTTAAGTGACACCTCAGAGGCTGTCGGTGTCTTGATCCCCTTGCTGACCGGAAGTCCTAGAAGCCCACGACCATCATAGTCGTCGTTGAAAATCGACAGGAGCGCGGCTGGCAAATTTCTATGGACTGAAGCAGCCAAGCCTTCCTGGGCAAACCGTGCTTGGAACATGAATGCATATCAAAAAAAGAAACGGCAATCTAGCTGTGAGAATGCTGGAATGCAGATGTCATCCAATGAGCTCTATGAGGGAAACAGCCGACAACCCAGACGGCACAGCTGCCTGAGCATTGAGACATGCAGACGCTGATGAGATCCTAAATTTATCAGGTCTTATTTTGTATTGTTTACATATTTATGTCATATTTATCCAGATTTATGCATTTAGAAACGGTTACTTATACATGTGAAAATGTTGTTTACATAGTTATATACTGTGTCTACATAGTTACTGTTGTTAAAAAAGGGTGCTTGTACCTGTAAAAATGTACCACTGCATCTGTTTCTATTTGTGTGTAAATATCACATGTTGGCCATGCCCAAACTACCCCAAATGCTGATAAGTGTCAACTTCCTCTTGGTTCCAAGGAATCTTGCCCGGGCCTGGGTGGAATTCTGAAGCCATAAGTTGGAGCAGAATTGGAGGCACTGTAAGAAACATGTTATTGAAATATTTTTCAAATCATGAACTTCTTGATATCAAATTTTATTACAGATCGATTTCACATGGCGACCTGAGCCCAAGATTTTGAGCGCCAGACGTACTGAGCGCCATTTCTGGCCAGGTTCAGCTTCCACTACGGCCATTGCAGCAAGAACGGATGAGGACCCCACAGGGTTGGAAATGGATCAGTCAGCTGCGATCCACACAAGCGTCAAAGAAAACAAACTGGATTCCCTGCGCAACGTGCAAAACCAAAACCTTTCAAAACAGTTTCACACAAAATTGATGTGCGCAGTGATCAATGTTGAGAGACCAGTGCAACATGGGGGCACAATCGCATGATAGATGGATACATATGGTTTTAAAGGAGTCCATAAAATTGGTCATAAGGGCATCTCTTATTTTTTGGAGATAAGGAATCAAAATCGGTCATAAGGTCACAATGGGTCATATGTTCATCAATAAGGCTCTTCTTATTTCCATTGAACGAACTCGGCCCCGACGAAAAAACACCCAGACCCAAGGGCACTTGCCAAACTTCCTTCGGCTCTGCAGGACCACCTGTGAACGGTTTGCAGCTGGGGCCGGCTGACGTCCGCTGGGTTGATTTGATTTCCAAAATCCACTGTGGAGAAGGTCCCATGCATGTAACATGGTAACCTACATAAAACCTTCAAGTATGAAAGATTTTGCAATTGAAGGTGGTGAAAAATTGGACAGTCAACCTGTACCTGTGAAGCGACATGCAACGGTTCACTGCTGAAGAAGCGATGGTCTGACTTGAACCCACCAAAGAAAATGATAAGGTCATGCATGTAAACTGGTAACCTATATGGACCCTTCAAGTATGTAAGATTTGGACTTGCAGGTAGGTGACATTTTAGATGATCAACAAACTACCTGTGCGAAGCGACCTGCACGGCTGAAGACCACGGTTCACAACCACTGTTTTGTTTGATTCGAACCACCCAAACATAAATTGTATCGCATAGTGCATGTAAGCTGATAATCTATTTCAACCACTGCATAGAATGTTTACATTGAAATTGGTCTGATGGACCTGTGAAAGCTAATTTGGACCCCTTCCCAACCACCAATGGACCTGTGAAATTCACTTGGATCAGTCCACATGCAGTTGAAGATCAGCACTGGGCCATGGCACAGTCACAGTGCCATAGAAACTCAAACTTGTTAGTGCTTTGGACGCTTTAGATGCAATGCTTCATCAATGCAGGAGAGACACAGGTTCTATAGATTACGGTCCCCGAACTATGAATTTACAGTTTGGATTTTGCAATATGGATGTTGCAGTTTGGATTTTACAGTTTGGATCCCAAACTATGGGTGGTAATTGTGAACTATGGCACCAATGCGGCGCAATCCGACTACCTCCATGAACCTGAAAAGAAACCCCTGGCAGGGAACGCAGCGGGGTTGGTGACTGGCGTGAAACCTTGGCGGTGCAGTTGATGTTTTTAGTAGATAAACCTTTGAAAATAATCCAAACTTTGGGGTGCAACCTTGAAAGCTATGATTCTATATAACCCAAAAAAGACATTAAATATGGGGCGTCCAGGGCAAACACAAGAAATAACTTATAGCGTTTGAATCATAGTTTAACTCATAGCGTTTGATCACCTATCCAAGACAATATATATATATATAACCACATGATATTTATATATATATATATGTGTGAGTGCCCAACTTGTAGGTGTATTGCACAGAAAATTGTTTCCCACGGCTGCCCCTTTTTGGACATAGCCTTCATCGTGAGAGAGCGGCCCCGAATAGATATTTGGGAAACCATCAGACCTTCAAAATTTTGGAAGGAATCCAGCTATAACTCTGTGAATTTTATTTGTGCTCCCTGTGTGCGATAGGGAAAATCAATCTATCTACCGAACCAAAAAAAAACACATGTACATCATCTAAGTCTGTAAAATCACCTACTGAACCCTGGTTTCTGGGTGGCGTGGAGGTGACAAGGCTATAAGTTTGAACCACTGATTTCGGGGAACTGTTCAGCCAAAACCCATGTAAAACAGGGACAGACACAGAGACACACAGACAAACAAACACCACACACACACACAGAAAGACAACACAGAACACAGAAAATACACATACCAAGTTTATATTGTTTTTATACATTCATATCAATGAGTTGATGCATTAATTTGGGCCCACATTCTTTCAGATAACCCATGGCATTTCACAGTAAATAATATATTATATAAATATATATATATATTGATCCCAGATGTCAGGAAAACATGGTCCCATATATAGATTCAATGCTCAAGTCGGTTGGAAAACTAAAAGCAATGGGATAGTTTGGATAACCACGCTTGAGTCCACGAACCCGAATGCAAAACTTTGCCAACATCGGCCTACAGAATTGTGTTTGCATGGCAGTTGTAGCTATAAAGCTACAATGTCCTGCATGGTAGGAGCACAGCAGCTACTGAGATATGACTATATGATATGCCAAGCCTAGGCTCCATACAAACGACACTATTGGCACAAAAACAACACTAGCCGGTGTTGTTTGGAGAAACGATGTCCAAAGGACACTGTTGGATCCTCTAGGCAAGTCTGTGAGTGTGTGAGTGATGTGAGTGTGTGTGTGTGCAACCAAGTCTGTGAGTCTGTGAGTGATGTGTGTGTGTGTGTGCAACCAAGTCTGTGAGTGTGTGAGTGAGTGAGTGAGTGATGTGTGTGTGTGTACCATCTGAATAGATGTAAAACTTCTATATTTTGCAGGGGCACACGGCATCCTTGACCTACCGTGTGCAACGAAGCTATGGTCTTGGATGGGATATCAGGGCTGATCACCCATGATCACCCTGACGCACCTGCTCAATCTTTTTCATTTGCGTCCATGGCCACCGGCTAAGCCAAGAACCGGCATGTCGGTTTTCCAACAGTTTTCAAACCAAACGACTGTACGGTTTTCGCAATCTGACTGAGCTGCATCAGAACAAGTTAATCCTTCGAGCAAGGACGTAGAAAGCTTACTTCGCACTAGTTCTCACGTTGGGTCATCCAACCGCTCCTGTCAGGTTTAATTGAAGTGTTTTTGCACGTACGGTGCATTCCACATCAGTAATTCGATAAGATATTTCTGAGCAAGTGTGTGCTTCATGCTGGATTCGTCAAGGTGGCATGAACCCCTCGGGGAAAGCCTTTCCAGGCTAAAGACTGACACGCTGAAACGATCTCTGAATTTACACTTTTTAATTGGCAATTCGTCTAAGTAAAGTGAACTGTTGGCCATTTTTCGATTCTCACCCTGTCGAAGTCGTTTGGTTGAACAACTGCCCGCTGTGCCTGGGAATCACCTTTTTACTGAACGTCAATGGATGGTAGACTGAAGCTGCGACAACCTTCTTTTTTCAATTTTGCCCAAGAGAGTACGGAGCTCGACATTTTACTGCATGACATGTGACCATGTGAAGGCATTGAGGTTCAACTGTGCATGTACTTCAGGGGTTGACTACTTCAGCTGTCTATAG